CGTATGATTGTTTTATAGACCTGTATCTTCGTACGTCTTGTTAGTTGTTTCGATTTTATAAGGTTTTGGAGTGCAAAAAGACATCTGTTGCCGGCCTGAATCCTGTTGTTTATTTCTTGTGATCCGCTATTGTCTTCAGTTATTGTTGTTCCAAGATAATTGAATTCTCTAACGCGCTTAAAGTTAAAGTCATTCAAATAATTAAGAGTGGAATAATAAGTAAGAGTTTATATATTATGTTGTATTGTGTGTGACGAGTAATTGCCTTTAATAAAGAATCGCTTATTATATCCTAACAAGTGCCGGGTGATAGATGACCCTTATAGATACGAGTTTCTGTCGGCAAAAAAGTTTATGATAGAGACTCTCTCCAAACTTTGAGTATCGTTTCATTAGGTCGAGTCTGACACGATTTACCTCTGCGACTTTTTTTGGTTCTGGGGTGTTTTTTCTTTAATTTTCACGAAAATTTCCACTCGTCAGATGGTAAAATATATTCTTATAATTAAATAACTTAAAAATTATAAGAAAAACATGAAAATAAAATTTTCTGATGAAAAATATAGATCATGCAACGCGCCTGATGACTCGAACATGTCGGAAAAACTACTTTGACGAAACTTTTCATATTATCTGACGAAACTAGTTTTCCGATTTTCCTGTCTGACAAGTGAAAATTTTCGGGAAAATTAGAGGAAAACGCCCCAGAACAAAAAAAAATGGTACATTAGGCGGTACTGTAGACTAGCGCGAAGTTTCATACAATGTTCCTGTATTTTTAAATTAAAAAAAATTATGAAACATTTTAGGTTCATAGAGAGAGTCTCTATAATAAACATTTTGCCGACGGGCACTCTAACTATTAGAGTAGTTTTAGATTTAAAAAGTTCTTCTCTTATTTAGACAAATAAGTTCGCATCAACCGCTAGTTGTTCATCAACATCAGTTATTACTTATTTACATCACATAAAAGATTACATTTTATTGATACCTTTAATTTTTATCAAATATTTATGTTACGCTCTGCGCTTGATATTTTTCGATATAAATTTCTGATCAACGTTTTTGATAATTTTAATCAACAGGTCTGACTAACTTTTGATTAAATCTTGAATGTGGAAATAAGCACAAATAAAAATTAATTCAGTGATGTGATACACAAGATCTAACAGATAAACTGTTCCTTATCTTATTTTGTCATATAAATGTAAATTAAAGAGTTATAATATAGCAAATTATAAGCCAAACAGTTACACATTATGTACACATATATTCAGTTAAACAATCATATACAGGGTGGACAAATAAAAGGAAGCAGAGCTCTTAACAGAAACTGTGTTTATATTTTAGTAAAATGCAGGTATCCGACGATTTTTGATTAAAGGCGCAAACCCTTTTATAATATTTTTCACACCAACTATTCGTTACTTGCGTACTGATCGAAAGTTGTGTATCGACCAGCAGTATAAGAATGAGGGTACTTCTTCTCTGGACGCTCTTTGCTCTGTAATGAGACCAAAGGGTCGAATTACATGTCATCATCATCATCTTTGGCTTGACAATCCTCTGTGGATCCTGACCTGCTCTAAGATTCGTCGCCATTCAGTTCGGTTTCTGGTGACGTGTTAACATCTGATTTTTAGTATCTCTAAGTCGGTCTCAACTTCATCTAACCATTTAATTCGAGGTCGGCCTCGGCTTCTTCTTCTTAAAGGTGTTCCTGTCGTTAACTTTTTAGCAATCTATTCTCTGGCATTCGTATTATGTCCCCAGTGCATTTAGGCGCTGTGTTTTTAGGCGCGCAGAATCTGGTTCATTAAAGAATTGGTATAATTTGAAATTATATCTTTTCCGCTGCTGCCATTGGTCGTTTATAGCTCCAAGTATTATTATTTTATTATATATTATTTTTCAATTACATGTCATATACTGACAAATTAGACGAGATGTAAATATTTCTTTCGAGATCTTTATACTGTTGAAATAAAATTTAGCCTATATTAAACGGTGAAAAATATTATATTTTGTTACATTTGCGACTAGGTTACGTATTTTTTATATAGGTTTTAAATATACATAGGAAATATGATTCAATTCTTTACCCTTTGACGTCGCTAGTCTATATCTTGATTAATTGTAACTAAATTGAAATAATAATATCCATCTGTGTCGCATTTTTCCTTTTTCTCTTCCTTTTTTCTAGATTATTCTTCTTCCCTTTTTTTAACCGTTCTCGTTCTATTTCTTTATTCTGACATTATACCTACGTTTTATTTGCCCTTCACACGTGTTATGAAACATAAATTGCCAGCTGGTTTCTAACACCTATTAATAACATAATATACATATAATTAGAATTTCATATCAACCCACGAGTGTAAACATAGGCTTTTTTGTCTATATGTATTGATTAACTCTTTAACTAGTTCATTAACTTCAACAGCTCTCTGTATTGCATTTGTAATTACTTTTTCTATTAATATTATTTGTACATTTAGGATTAATTCTTTGGTGTACTCATTTCCTCTTATGTAATAATTAACACGTGTATTACGGTAGTAATTGAAGAGGTAATTTAAAACTGAAACCGTTTTGATTTTTTCGTCACCAGATCCGTGGTGGTAAAAATGGACTCCTCGCTCCCCTAAATATTGATCAATATCAATATCAATTCATTGATGTGTTAATGGAAGCTGGCGTCAATGGATTTTAAATCTAAATCCTTTGATTAAAATAATTGTCCCTGTATGTGATTTTATTAGTATATAATCCACATAATATACCAATAAGTCGGTAACTTCTGCCATCTAGAATCAGTATTTAATTATTTATTAGCCCATCTCTTGGGTGGTCCCAAGATAACATACCTTTAGTGAGAACTTTTATGTTCACTTTACTTCACTTCAACCATTGCGATTCTCAAAAACAATTTTTGATGTATGGTGCCCCTCAAGGCTAATGCCTTCCTAGTATATTCTCAAAATGAGAAGACTGTTACGCAGTAAACTTCAAGTAACTTTATTGGTTAAAAAAATTTGTAACATTTTACAAGATTTTTAAAACTCTATAAAAATCCAAACTCTATTTTATTGAGTAATAGATAATTGTTGAATTAAAAAAGGCAACTAAATATTTAAATATTAAAAAAAAACAAAACTATGATCTACAGCAATCACTGACTTTCCCCATTTTGGAGGCAGAAATACAAATCGGTTTGGAGCACTTACGCAAGTTACATGTTCACATTTCACGCAAGTCATTCTCAGCTTGCTTGATGTAGATATGGAGCACATTTTACGTTTTTTGTAGGATAAGTGCCTCATTATTTTCGTGACAATTTGAGGCAGGTTAGTCAAGAATTTGATGTAAATATTTGCACTTCTCATACAATCCAGATGTTTGAAAATTGTCTTTATGTATGGCTCAACTACTCAACATGTTCCTAAAGATTTTTGTTAGTATAATAAAACCTAAAGCTAAGACTAGTACTACTAGAAGAATTAATACTAAACTCAACAGTCTTCCAGGTTAAACTGCGTCGATTATCACTGGACTTCACCGGTGCAGTGACATTATGATATAATATTAACCATTGAGAGAATCATACAAACCATCGAAAACATCTACCTCCATAATCGAATACAGGCAAAGATAAATGCAAAACTAACACAGTGTATACCAGTACAAAGCGGAGTCAGACAGGGTGACGCGTTAAGCCCACTTCTCTTTAATATAATAATAAACGAAATAATCCAAGTAGTACGTAAAGGTCATGATTACAGAATGGGGAACAAAGAAATGCAAATATTATGCAGACGACGCCACATTAATCGCCGAGACAGAAGACGAGCTCCAAAGATTAACACATATCTTCAATACAACAGCTAAGAAATAATATATGATATCAGCAGAAAAAACCAAATGTATGACATCTAAATACCCACTACGGTGTAAAATCGAAATTGATGGGAAAATAATAAAGCAGGAAGCAAGGTTTAGATATCTGTAAATAGATATAACTAGTTACGGAGATGTTGAAGAAGTACTACAACAAAGCTTAAAAGCAAGTAAAAGCAATTAGACCTACATTAACATACACGGCGGAGACAAGACCTGACACATCTAAAACGAGATGACTGCTAGAAACAACAGAGATGAAAATACTCCGACGAATATCAGGGAGAAGTCTGTTAGATAGGAAGAGAAGCGAAAATATAAGAAGAGCATGCAATATAGAATACATAAATGGATGGGTGACAAAACGAAAACAGGAGTGGAACAAACACATCAGTAGAATGGCAGAGGATAGAAGAGTACGAATAGCACGAGATAAGTCACCAAACGGACGAAGAAGTAGTGGTAGACCAAGAAAAATATGGTGCGACAATTTAAACAAATTAGGTGGCTAATATTAAAGAAGAAACAGGCTTTACAGCTTACATACTAGAAGGAAGAAGAAGAAGAGAGAATCATATACACGACAACAAAATATAAGTGTTAAATGTTTTAAAGATGGTCTCTTATCTTTGTTTGGACTGTATTGAAAATTGTTTTAAAACTTTATTATGATTGATGAACCCACATTAACTGCTAGGGGTTATTAAGAGTCGAATTATAAGTTATACCTTCGTTATATATACAAGAAATATGTTTATTTCAAATTAAAAGATTTACAGACACAACTTCAAGCTTGTCCATCATACTTGTTCAATCTTTTTGTACAAGTATGCACATTTTGCCTTTGGCACCACACGTACAAGCATGCTTGATAAAAATAGAGGTAGTTTAATAAAATATGTCGAGCTACGACGACGATACGCTCGCTTTGACCGTTTTCGTTTGTTCGTGAAAAAAAAAAAAGAAAATCCCGAATAAAAAAGCATGCGATGTGGTATAAATAATGGTTGATGAAAAGGAAAACCTATTCTCACATTAGCTTACTAAGTTAGCTGAAAATATATTCGCGTGACTGGCACAATTATCTTAGAATGGATGAATAGATGTATTTAAACCTTTTGTCTCTTGTATCACCTAGGATTCAAAAGCAGGATACGATCATGAGAGAAGCCATAACACCACATGAAAAATTTCTTGTGGCTGGAAGGAGTTATGAAGACCTGAAGTATTTAACTATTAGTGAGTTCTTCATCTTCAACTTTTTCTTTTCTCTATTACAGTTAGTCCGGAAGGAGTTTATTTTTTTAATAATTTCATCCTTGTAACCCTATTTGCTTTGTTACGATAATCTTAGGATTTAACTTGCCAAAGACATGGCTAATTTGGGTATTCTTGAATAAATTCTCCCAACGATTCATGGTTACCCTTTTTGCGATTACTAGTCCTGACGAAAATTACTCAAATGCTACCTCACAAAGCAACACAATGGACGTTAACTTGTTTAAGCTTGAAAATTTTGGGTACACACGTATCGTTTTGCTTGCGCAAGCGCGCTTAATTCAAGCATGCATAATTAAGATCCTTTCAATCCTCAAGCCCCTTGTACAATCACAAATCTTGCACCACATTTCCCTACAGACACTCAAGTGTGCTTGTACAAAAAGATTGAACAAGCGTGATGGACAAGTTTGCATGCGTGTCTGTAGCCGCCTTGAGAGAACGGCTCATTCTACACAAAAGTGCTAATAAACATTTTCGTTCAAAATGATCTCAGATAAATTCGTTGTTTAAAATATTTTTTTCTACTTAGCCCACCCAAACTGTTTTGAACCTTTTTGGGGTCCCTAAATTAACGTTCTTAGCCTAATTCAGCTTGTTCGTCTCGATTTTAGATAAAATCTCTTACTAGTGGACTACTAAAAGTGATTCATAACCTCTTTAAAAGATTTCGATTGGTATCTTTAATTACAGATGAAATATTACGCAATATATCTACGTTTAAAAATTTTAATTTCTGATCAACGTAATTGATAATCTTAAAAGTCTGATATATTTCTGATTAAATCTCAAATTTGGAAAATAATATTAATTTAAAGTTAATTTGGGGTACGATATAGGTACAAGATTTGTTAGATAAACTTGATTTTTAGTTTTTCTTATGTTAATCCATAAAAGCCCGAATTAATTTTTTTTTCTAAAATTGTGTATTTTTTGCTAATGTTAATCCCCAATGAGTTAAATTAAATGATATTATTTATTATTTTGAATAACAAATATTACGGTATTAGAAACAGAACAATATTACCCATCCACCTTAAAAACAATTATTCAGGGTTGTTACTCATTTTTGATGAAATATAAAATTACATTCCAAACATAACGCAACGTTACATTTTTTTAAACATAGTACAAATAATTGATGAACATCCTTCTCCTTCCTCTTCTTTTTTCTCTGAAGTGGGTATCAAATGATGATCTCTTCCATCATACCTCAAATCATCACTAATTCTGTTCAAGGATATACTATTTGTTAATGTAGCTGGTCTTTGACCCAATAGAGGTGCAGTTCCATATTGAGATATATTTGCAATTTCACGACTTAAGTCCAGTTGTGACCTTTTTGTACCCACTGATGGTCGATGCATAATTCGAGCATTACAATACAACCAACCATGTAAATATCCCTCACCACCAATTTTTCGATTGTATTGCAATCCTATATCGACTGACATCTCCATCCATTAGGTCAGTTCCACCCATTCCACTATTATACTGACTAATGGCGAAAGGTCTTGATACTTAAATATGTTTGTGCTTGGCTTTAGAATATCTTTTTTCTTGACAAAGGCGCCACATCATAGGCATTTGAAGCAATTGTCACTGTATTATTGCCCAACCACTTTACGAATATAATGCCATAAGAAAAATAATCTTCTATGCATTCCATTTTACGTAAAATTTTTGAAGATGTAAGAGGGTAGGTCTTGGGTAGTTTATTATTTCTGTTTGTAAACTAAATTTGTTTGTCTACATTCGTAGACTTAGCGTGTTTGCCTTGGTACATTTTAAAATTGAGTAAGTACCCTGAAGCAGCATTTATGCACCACATTTTGAATCTGATTCTAATCGCTTTACCTCGAATAAGGCGACATTAATGGCGACCTTACTACCTTACCATGGACTTGTCATTATTTAGGATCTCTTCCGAAATTAAGCAGTTTAAAAAATTTTCGAAGCATATACGTAAGTTACAAATACATTGAATTAGTCATAAACAGTTTTGAAATTTATTATCTCTCCCTTTTCGAGATCGTCTTTTCGAGGATAGACAATAGGGTAAAACATGTCATAGTCTAATCTGGACGGAGCACAAACTTTTAGAGAGAACTAACAGAGTTTGAAGAATAGAGCAGTATTGCATATCTGTTTAATTTTTCTTCCACTTTTTATAGAACGTACTATTGACAATATTTTCTAACACGATAGGAATGTCCTTAAAATTTAAATGGTTTTTTTCGGTAATAAATAATAAACAACAAGCTGATAATTTAAATCTACTGATGGTTTTTATATGTTAAAATACAAATTTTATTAGTAGGTCCATATATATATGTATGTAAATAAAATATGAATTATTTTTAGGGGAGCAACACATTCCAATGCAATTATTCTGGATTCTTCAGGAAATATATTAGGACAAGCTCCAGGACCAGGAACAAACCATCATTTAGCAGGCATGAAAGAAGCTCAAAAAAGGATAGCTCAACTTGTAGATGCTGCAAAAAGTAAAGCTAACATACCGCTCGATACCAAATTAGATGCCTTGGTAAGCTTGTATAGTTTTCAAATAACCATATTTAAATTTTTATAAATTTTTATAGATACGTTTGATACGTTATAAATATGTTAGATTTTTATAGATATGAATTGAGACGGTAATTACTTCTGAATATTTAGGAGTAGTGATATCAGAAGACGGAACAGTCGATCGGGAGATAGCAAACTGAGTGACAAAAGCAAACAAAATTTATCATGCACTAAACAACACGATTTTTGGAAAACAAGAAACAGAAAGAGAAGTTAAGCTCAAGGTGTCTTCTTCTTCTTATAGTCCCGTGCACCTATAGTGCGTTGGCGAATTATCTTAAGGCCAGACGTCTGTCTTTTGCGGCATGCAAAAGATCGCCAGTGTTATTTATGTCTTCTTCTTCAGCCTGTGTTCGTCCACTGCTGGACATACGCCTCTTCCATTTGCTTCCATCGATTTCTACTCTTGGCAATTCTCATCCACTGCTTGCCCGCGACTTGTTTGATATCGTCTGTCCACCTCTTCTGCGGTCTGCCTACTCCTCGCCTGTTCTCTCTTGGTCTCCAGTTTGTTAATCTTTGTGTCCATTTTTCGGGATTATCTCGGGCAACGTGTCCGACCGATTGCCACTTGAGCCTTGCAATACGTTCTGAGACATCAGTAATTTTTGTTCTTTCACGAATGACGTTATTTCGAATCCTGTCTCTCAAACTAATCCCTAGCATGGCCCTCTCCATTGCTCTTTGGGTTGTACTGAGCTGCTCTAAGGTTTTCTTTGTGGCCATGGTCTCCAGTCCATATGTAGTTACAGGCAAGATACATTTGTCATAAACTCTACGTTTTAGACACATTGGTATATCTGTATTCTTCAAAATAAAGATATTATTATTTATGTCTGTCCAGTTTTTTATGTTTCGTAGCTACGACATTTATTTGCGACCTACTCCTCTCTTGCCTTCAATCTTTCCCTGGATAATTAGTTGAGGGATTGCGTATTTTTTTCCTCTCAGAATATCTCCGAGGCTCAAGGTGTAAAGGTGTATAATGCAGTAACAATACCAACACTGTTATATGCAAGCGAGATATGGGTCAATAACACCAAAATGGAGAGCGCGCTGAACGTAGCAGAAATGAAACAACTAAGAAAAATAGCTGGTGTGACAAAAATGGATCATATCAGAAATGTTTACATAAAAAGCAAATTGAAATAGAAACTGATAGGATCTAAGATGAGAAAACAACTATTTTGGATTGTATACATTATTAGGGTGGAACAGAGCAAACTAGTAAGAAGAGTAATAAAATTCAAGAGATACCGGAAGAGAAGAAAGAGAAGACCAAGGATGGAATGGCTGGAATAATCATTGAAAATAGGCAGAGAAAAAAAATCGTTTCAACAAATAAAAGAACTAGCTAGGAACCAGAAGAGATGGAAGAAATGGGTACAAGAAATATGAAAATATCACTTCGACGTCCAAGCTGGGCATTAAGGAGTTCCCGAATGTTCAATCACAAAAATAATCCCTTAATTTGTAATCTCACATTATTCTTAACTTCTTGACCTTTTATGGTTTCACCGTGTATAATTGACTTTATGAAACATATCGAGTAATATTTTAATAATTCTATTCACCTAGTCTATTCACCTGCAAACATGCACCTAATAAATTGTCAAATAATATATTTTCTAATTGAACGTCCAAGTGTTGCAATAACAGCCTACATTAAATTGTATTGTAAGCTTATAGTTCAAAGTTTGTTAGTATGATAGAAGCATTAACCTCTGTGCTGAGGTATATATTATTTGTTAAATTATAAATTGGGGGTTTGAGTTTATTTGAGTGCAGTCTATTATAGAAAGTTACCTAACCAACAACTAGAGTGTAATTATTAGTAGCTGTCAATAAAACTATAATTTTTACTCCACGACTTTAACATTTTATTGTACTACCATCGTGGATCGAGAAGAATCGGACAAAGGGGCATTAGAAAACAATTCGATCCTGATATTTACATCGAATCGAAAATCGAAATCGAAAAGATAGATACGTTTGTTGAATGTTTATTTTACCAATCATTCCATTTTCATTACTGATTTTTGGCCTCGGTTTCTTTTCTGTACAATTTGTTTTTATGACTAAAATGTTTTAATGTTATTCGTCATATGAGTTGTGTTCTGTTCCTTTTCTGATCCGTTGTGTTTCACTGCAATATGTTCCGTATATTTTCTTTTTATCACAGCATAATATGTCTAGCGAATTTACATTGTTATCATTACGAAGTAAGCCACTTTCAACACTATTTTTTATTTGTAATTGTTTTTTATTTGTTTATTTCACAACCATCGGAAATGCTTATCTTTTAAGTCGAATGTTAGAGTTAATAATAGTTAACAATTAAAAACCCTTACTTTAAGATATGAATATTTTCTATGTTTAAGGATATAAAAAAGTTTTACAAATTTATCGAAATTAGTTTTTTCTATCTCTTTTATTTCGGGATAGAACTTCAGTAAGAATCTTCTATGAAGAAAAAGGACAAGCCAACTAAGTGAAATATTTATTATTTGAAACAAACATTCAGTAACATTACAAAAAAAACAGTACTAGCTTAAAAAGCAGAAAAATAACTTGACGTTCTAAAGTCGGAAGGCTTTCTAAAAACTTCATGGCAAATATAATGTGCATGACGCCTCATCACTCCTCAGTTTTTTCCTCAGCAGTCTTCTGTAAAGATCCGATAGAGGTCTTATTAAATGTAACTTCAATGTCTAAAAATCACAAAGGGCACTTCTTCTGGTGTAAGCTTCTTTCCGAGATTTTACACCAGATTGTAGGGGGTGGCTTCACCTGACCTCTCTGTTTGATAAGCCCGTTGCAGCGGATGTAAAGTATTTTCTGTATAATTTTTATTCTTGATATAGTCATTCAGTATTTTTTTATTGTTTTTAATAGAGCCTTGGTAATATGCTATATGGTATCTGCTAAATTAAAGAGAATCGAACGTTTATTTTATCAAATGAAATCATTTAACAATTAAAACAATATATGTTAAATATTGTAAAATAGGTTTACAAAAGTACCGAAGTAGTTTAAAATATATTAAATTTTAATTTTTTTTATTTGCAATACAATGTTCTAGGACCTTTAGAACCAAAGTTAGCCCTTTTTTATTTCTCGTTTTCTCCTCTTATTTTATAATTTCAAAAACTGAATTCATAAATTCAAATTTATAAAAGTCGCTATATCTCCGGTTCTAATCAACTAAAATTGATGTTTTTTTTAAAGTTGGTATGCCTCATTGCATAAATTCAATTAGTTACGTGAATGAATTGTTTATTTAACTGGATAATTTGTTTAAATAATTTAAAATAAATATTTATTTTGCAAATTTTACTCTTCTATTATTATTAGTAGAGAAGGTTGTGAAATGATAGTTAACTTAAATATTTATATATTATAGTTATAAATAATATGTTAAAAATAAATTTTACTTTTAAATTAAATATAATTTTTATAAGCTTAAAATCACAGTACTTTTGCAAACCTATTTTTTAATATTTAACATAAACTTTTTAATCCTTAAATGATTTAATTGGATAAAATAAGCCTTTTTCTTCAATTTGCTACAATTAGAATTCATGTAGAGTCAATAGTTTACTCATAATAACGTTGTAGATAAAAGCTTTTTGGGATAACTAATTAAGTGACATTTCTTGAAATTTTTAAAGCTAAATATTTGTGATATTGTCCGTATTCTCACTGGAAATCAAAGTTTTTTTCTGTAAGTTTAAAAACCCTCATTTTAAATGATTTTCTTTTTTTTTCAGTAAAATTGTGCCAATTGCCTATATAATTTACCGGTCTTCCCTAGTCTATATGTACTTAAGTTTTGAGACACAAAATAAAAACAAATATGTACCACCGAAAATGTATTTATAGTTTTTCAAAGCCCATTTTGCATAAAAATTGTTTTCTTCTTTCTAAACAGCTAACTTTATTGTAGTTGAGAAACCCTTACTTTGCTATTTATTTTTGATGGACAGGAATTAAAAGAAGTTATTTGTTGTTTTTCAATTGGTAGTGATGAATATTCATTAATTTGATGTTTCAGTGAATGAGAACTCGTTTTGTCACAAATCTACTGTTCTATATTGACGTTTTGAGAATGATTACCTGTTCAGATTTTCGTGCACAGTGGTGGGACATCTTCTCTTAACAAAATATGCCATGATATGGTGTTCTATATGCCACTTACGTAGATAATAGTTCTTTCTCAGCACAACATTGAATTTGTACCCGATTTTATAATCGTTTACTCAACTTAAATATGTATTTAATTATCTAAATTATAATGGGGAGAGATATAAAATTTTTCCCCCAAAAAAAGAAAAAGTAAGTGTTATTAATGTTTCAATAATCATCATAAAAAAATATTCAAAGAGTGTAGAGATTATATTCCAGATAATGTTTAAGGGAACAAAAATACGTGTCAAACTTTTCTAACCCATATGTTGAGTTTATTATCACTCTTATCAAACAGTCCGAAAGTAGACATAACTAAGTATTAGTTTACAATTAAAACTATTTCAATTTAAAAATATTAATCAAAGCACGAAGTTCTGGAACTCTGATAACTGAATGGAATTTTCATTCTGTGGGAGGAGAGATTATGGTAGAGCCGGTATAGTTCAGTCATCAGAGATTTGTAATTTTGTTGAGAATATTATTATTGGGATACCAAAAAATATTGGGATCCCGAATTTACGAATGAATCGTAAAAAATGAAAAAAATTGTGCAACGGTTATTTATTTAAAACCGTTATAAAAACTGCCTTTATTTGCGGCAAAATATAAAAATTGCATTCGAAAGTTTCACTCTTCCTATCTTATTAATAAAACACTCGTATTCTAAGGTTATTCCGTATTTATACTTGGAATAGCTATCCTAAGTATAAGGTAAATATAATACTAAAATAATTTGTCACAAATAAACTCTGTATAAGTTAGTTATAAGTATTCTCACTTTATTCCGAAATACTAGTTTGGCAATGTCCCAATCTTTTGCACAAATACATAGAACAACGACATATTGAGTGAAATATGTCAATTTTTATTTTTCTTTGAAACTGACAATGACAACTGACACCATATATATCTTTAATTTGATATCTGATATGTTGAGTTTTAGTATTTTTCACAGAATACACCGTTGGGATGGAGTATTCTGAGGTATTTTAAAATTGCAAAAAACCTTACATCATCTTTAGAAAATCGATATTTTATTCTAAATTCTCTATCAGTGTATTTTGAAAGGGATTTATTTTTTCTTTGAAAGTTTTTCTTTTTCGTGTATTTTCCATCATGTTAATTAAATTATCAACTTCTTCGACAGCCGCAACACCTCGTAAACACATTTTTTTATTATATAGCTACTCACAAAACAATACAAAAAATATTATATTCTGGTCACTGATGGCTTTGACATTCATGAAATAGGTTATACCGTTATACCAGACCTAAACTAGGGTGTTGGTTGGTATAATCCTGGAATAAATTCTTGTATCAAAACCTATATCTAAGTTATTCCGTGTTTATTGGTAGTGATTTTGCCTATACCTGATTTATTCTGCGTATAAGTGTTATACTTGGTTTATTAGTTATGCTGTTCATCTTTAAAACGCAATTTTATTGTTGTCAATATGACACTCTGTTCAAAAGATATCGAATTTTTACCGTCGAGTTGATATTGACATTCAAAACCGCCAGTCGCTTCAAGCGTTGTAAGTGCTAATAAAAATTTTTGTTTAAAATTATCTCAGCTACATTTTTTATTAAAAACTTTTTTTTTCTACGGTGTGCAGACGATTTTTTCCGTTCCCCTCTGCGGGGGTTTTAGGGGGAAGCCCGTAGATAAAAGTGGTAAACTTTATTGCAGCTTTTTGGGGTCCTAAAATTGACACTCTCAGCTAAATTCAGCTTGATATGATTTTTACAGGTTCAGCTACATTTTCGTCTCTGACGAGTGGAGTAGTATTACAAAATATTACATTGAAGCTAGGAACTTATTTTTAAATAACATTTTATAAAATATCTGTTGTAGGGTCTGAGTCTTAGCGGCTGTGAACAAGAAGAAACTAATAATGTATTAAAAAAAGGACTTCTAGCAGACTATCCAAATTTAGCAGAGAAGGTGGTTGTAGCTAGTGATACTGATGGTTCAGTAGCTGCGACATCAAAGACTGGTGGTGTAGTTTGTATTGCAGGAACAGGATCAAATACCCTTTTGATAAATCCCAATGGGTCTAAAGTTCAATGTGGAGGTTGGGGAAACCTTTTAGGAGACGAAGGAAGTGGTAAGCGATATAATCATTATTAACAATTGAATTTTTTTTTAATATTATCAACACATACACATACAACTAGAAAATGGTTAATAATAACTTTGAAGGTTTTACTATGTAATGTACTCTTCCACAAGTATTTTGAGTTGAAGGTTTATAAGCCGTAAAATCATTTTTAATTTGCTTCAATGAGGTTCAAGAAGATTTTCACTTCCTTTGTCTCTAGCACAAAACTTTTCCTTAAACTTGTATTTATATCTGTCAGTTATATCATAATATTAACATAACCCATAAATTATGATAATGAAACCAGTGAAGAATTGTGTGTCGATATTTGTCTACCAGTAGATGCAAACACGGGTTAGTTTTGATGTCAAACTCATGTGACGTTTATCACGAAAGTTGGGTCTTCATCTGCATTTTAGTATATGTATTGAAGATGATGAAGAGTGTTTTAAATAAAGCCGCGATCGAATTTAATAATGCTTTAATATGCCAAAGAGAGTAGAGATTATCTGTTGCCGAATCTTCATGTTGCCAGTTTCCATGAAGTTTCTCTCTTGTTTTTAAATTTTTTTCTTTAAATATGCTTTCAGGCCTTATATATTTGCAGACTTTTTTCAGACAATAACCAATTATGTCAACTTCAAACGCACAAGACTACAGATTCTTCATATTTTGGAGTAAGAAAAATACTACTAACTAGACATTAGATATTTACTACTTTTTGTTGTAAAGAGTCTTTACTTATAGATTTGTCTTGACTATTAAATGGATATGGTTTCCTGATATAGGGTTGTAAATAAAAAGCATTGTCTGCTACAAATGCATTTGTTATACAGAATGTTCTTCCTGAGAGAGGAGTCTTTTAAAGCCTTTTGCTGCAGCTTCAATGAAATCTGCAATTTTATCGGCTGAAAACACCCACGTCTGATAGTCTTCCATTACCTCCAATAGGGAATATGAGGAAATTTTATGTGAAAATCATCAATTTTTATTAAGACAAGACTATGCTGCCATTTATAGTTCAAATAATAACTACAACTATTCTGCGGTGCTTGGATGAGAACATATTTACTGTCAATAACAACCGAACATATAGTGAAGTTTCATTTCAATTGAAATTTCTTGGCAACACTTAAGCAATCTTTGATATTTCTAACAAGATGAAGCAAGGGAGGACTCCTCAAATGAAAACAACATACATTTGTTTCAACAACACAATTTGTCGAAAGAAAGTTTTGACTACGTATATTTTGCTATTTGGTTGCTTGTTTTAATACAAGGGACTAATTTTACAAGCAAATTTTTTAAAATCTGTAAGTTTCATTCTTAAAAAATTCGAAAACTGAGCCGAATCCTCTATCCTTAGCTCACCACTTAATTGGCTGGCATCCACACTCGAACTTAAGATAAAATGAACTGTGCGTGAAATGAAAGGGATATTCAACTCAGGACATACATTTCTTGATATTTCTATCAATAATGTAAGCAGATTTCTTACAGTAATTTTCTTCGCGCAGTAATCAGCTTCTTTGTGTCTTCAATCAATCAATCAATCAATATTCTTTATTTCATCTGACTTTTACAAGTATTGAAATGTGTCAAAATACAATCTAAAAAACTATAGGTACATAGGTAGTAAAAAAAGTAAAAAGTATAAGCACTCAAAAAGAGTGAACATAAAAACATTAAATACTTATACACAAAAATATACAAATTGTTAAAAAATTGTTAACTGTTATCTTAAATACATAATTATTTGACTCTTTAACATAATTAGGTAATTTATTATACAAACTAACGCATGTTGGGTAAGGACCCTTACCCACAACGGTCAAGTGACGAACAGGGGTCACCAACTCATTTCTGTAACGAAAATTGTAGCCACTCATTTCTGCAAAATTACAGTTAAAATATTTAATTGTTTAAAAACTGGTCTACAGGAATCCAAGCGCCTTCTAAACGTCATTTTACGAATAATTTGTTTTTGAAGAACAAGCACCTCATTAATTCGCGAGCAATTTCCCAAACAAACTAAGCAATATTGAAAAATTGACTGTACATGAGCAAAAAGTAAAGTTTTAAGATATTTAGGGAGACAAAATTCCTAAGTTGCCATAGAACATAATAGTGCACAGACAATCTTCCCACTACAGAATCAACGTGAGAACTCCAAGACAAATTAGAATCCAGGTAAACACCTAACAACTTAGTGGAGTGGCTATTTACCACATACCCATTGTCCAGCTTTACTAATGGACTCATCTACATAGTAGAAGGTAAAAAGGTTATCATATTGGTCTTTGGTCCATTTAGGATTAGGTCATTATTTAAACAGTAATGAGTCATACTTTTTACAAGACAGTTTGCTTTTTGTACTACATGAAAAAAATGATTGGAATTTAGTGCAACTGCGGTATCGTCAGCAAATTGAGTGACATAACAGCCTGATTACTCTTCCAAGTTTTCTATTCGAACGCTTATTGCATTAGAAAAATTATCTAATGAATTCTGAACCAAACATATTGAGCTACCGTTTATCAGTTGATTTAAATCATTGACGAAAATCAAAAATAAAAGAGGGCCAATGATACTTCCTTGTGGAACTCCGGAAAGGACACTTTCTTCTGAAGAAAATATTATATTCCCATTCACATTGACCTTAATTTTTGAAACCTTTTCGATAAAAAGGTGTGGATCCACTTTAACGCAGTTCCTCTAACACCACTATGATAAAGTTTTTCCAGCAGTATTGGATGATTTACAGTTTCAAAAGCTCGTGCTAAGTGAAAAAACAAACAGATAACTTTATTACCCTTATCAAAGTTCGATAAAATATGATTGCACAGCGCTAGAACTACATCTTTCACACTATACCTTCACGGAAAACAAATTGAGACTTTTCTATAATGTTGTGCTTTTTAATACACGAGAGGAGACGTGTATGAAATGCCTTCTCATATATTTTTGAAAACAGATAAAAGTGATAGGCCTCGATAGCTATCAAATTTTGATATGTATAGGCAGGCACAACTAAAGCAGTATTTAGAATTCGAGGAAAAACCCCTACCTGAAATGAAAGGTTTACTAGAAATGTTAATTGTTTATATATGTTATGAGATACATGTGATAACATAGAATACGGGATCTCATCCAGTCCAGCCGAGGATTTTTTTGAGATATCTTTACTTATACTCTTTATTTCTTCATCACTAAAAGGATAAAGGAAAAGGGAGTGTATAGGCGAAGAGATTCTTAGGATTATAGTCTAGTCTATAGGTAAAGTTTGACTAATTAAATTTTTTACGGAATTCGAAAAATGTTGACTGAAAGATTCAGCTATGTCATGAGGGTCATCCACAGAAATTCCCAAATTATTTTTAAATTTGCTTGGGTATTTAGAAGAGTTTCGATTTTTACCTCCGACAGTGTTTCGATTTATGATGCGCCAAGCCTCAGCCGTACTATTCTGCGCATTTATCATTTTATTATTATAATAAGTTTGCTTAGCTAACTTAACTTTGTATTCATGATTTTTTTAAATGTTATATCGTATTCTGAGCTCATGATTTCTGAATATTTTATAGATCTGAAAATGTTTCTAATAAAATCTCCCTCATTTATTAAATTAGAAGTCAATCAGCCCTTATTTTTAGACTGTTTAGAAAATCGTCTAGTATCCACCGTTTCCAACTGAATAGCTTTGTATTGCTTAGAAGTAGACTTAATTAATCACAATTGAGATCAAATGAGGGTGAGTGATTTTCGATAACATTTTTGGCAGGTTCAAGAACATAATATTTTGACGATTCTAATTCTGCAAGCTTCTTATTGCTTTAAGCTTTTTTAACTCTAGGTTCATATGTATTATGTAGATACAGCAAATGGTTCTTCTGCATAATTTTGTTTTTGGACATAAAAATATCATTTATGGTACGTTTTTATATATTTGAGAAAAATACTGTCTAATAATAACCGACTCGCTACCAGTGGGTTATAAGAATTTCACTTTTGCGAGATTTTTTTCAAACAGCTTTACTCTATAGATTAATAGGAGTAAAAAAAATAATTTAAAGCATGTTTTATTATATTTCTAGTAAGTCCCTACAGATTTAATTAATTTAGTGGATTTTAATCAAATTATGATTCAGAAGGGAAGTCAGAATTTTATTTCTGAATATTAGTAATATTATTGGTATTGGTAGAAACGGATCCACAGAATTCTAGTTTAAAATAACTTGAGGGCAGAGCAAAGGCAACAACATCGTAGGGGTACTGGTGCTGTTTGATGGATTGCATCACATGAGGAATGCCTATTGAGTTTAAATGCACCAATATTTTCTACCTCTTCGTCAATTGCATAGGAATGATAAATGCTTAGATAAATAGCCACGTCGATCAGTCGCTTAAAATCCCGCTTTGTGGAGTTTCTGTTAGTGGATAACAGGGTGGTAGTTCGTCTAGCAGACCGCTAAGGAAACGTTTCTTGATTTCAATGTGCCAGGATACTATTCGTGGCCAAAAAGTGGGTTTCGGTTGTTGAAGGTTTCTGTGCATCTTTCGGTGAATTAGTGGGCCGTTCTACGGGAGTCAGGATCCGAGAGGTCTGCAAGTTTCGTTTAGACTGACATTTACTTTTTTGGCGTGTTTAGATCTCTTCCATACCAGGCATTCATATTCCACCGTCGAGTATAGCACCTAGGCTGTGTATCTTGGTACTGTGGGTTTGGCCCCCATTTACTATTTTCCTTAAGTTTCCTTAAAAGGTCATTACGCGCATCTACCTTCTATCGGGTTTTTTCACAGTGTGACATCTCTAGCAAGGTGTCATTTCAGGTGAGTTGAGTTTTTTTTGGCCAGTCAGGACTGATGGTGAAAAGGCAGACCTGAGTTTTGGTTGAATTTCTTATCTTTATAATAATTAGACATCAAATTCAAATTAGCAGGGCAGCTTCTAATTTTTGTTTTAATTTCTTGAAAGTTTTAACCTTGGGCTGTGATGCCCAAGTCGTCTGCGCAAGTTTCTAGTTAAAGGTGGCGTTGGTTGATCATTGGTGTATAGATTGAAAGTATATATGCTAGTACGCTACCCTGAGCAAAGCCATTTATATGAGTTCGTCAGCGACTTTTCCCCCCTCAATACTCACGCAGAATCGTTTATTTTGCAGTAGTAATTCCACTAAGTATAGATGCTAGTACGCTACCCTGAGCAAAGGAAATACGAACTTCATTGTTTTTCGAGGCAGACTATCTAAATACGCCTCAAGAAAAGCACCATGCAGAAACTGTGCTGAATTTTGATGTTCTATAACAAATTGTTATTGCATGTTTATTAGACTACCTAGGTATCAATTTGTGTTAATTTTTTTCTCTTTTTTAGCATGGAATATATCTCATATGGCCATAAAAATATGTTTTGATGATTTAGACAATTTTGAAAAATCTCCACATCCGATACGTGCAGTTTGGGATGTCATTCGTTCACATTTCAAAATAAAAACACAAGCAGATATACTTGATTATTTCTACGCCAATTTTGATAAGGCGTTTATATCGTCTTTAGCTAAAAAACTCTCAGAATTGGCTACACGCAAGAACGATCCTCTGGCTCAACACATATTCAGCAAAGCAGGAAACTATATTGCCAAAAGTATTACAGCTGTAGTTTTAAAAGCAAATCCAAAGTTGACTGATATTGAAGGTGGAATACATATAACTTGCGTTGGTTCCGTGTGGAATAGTTGGGAGTTACTAAAACCTGGATTCTTAAAATATTTGGCTACAACGAATATAAAAGAGCTAACACTAATGCGACTAAACGTTGAGCATGGCGTAGGAGCAGCTTATTTAGCATCAGATAAACTAGGAGTACCTTTGGATAGAGATTATTCTAAAAATTTCAAAATTCTCTTCTACTATCTAAAGGAGGAATCTAACTGTAATACTTCTGGACATAATCATATTTGTGACAAGTAAATTATATTTATTTTTAGGTATGTGTCGAAAACATTTAAGAAAATATAAAATCGAGATATATTTGTAGATTTGTTTTATATATGTTTTAGACATATTGTATTGTATTATAAATATAATATTTTATACGAATGATATACCCAACTATCTAAACTTTTATTTTAAATAATTTTAAATATTTAAATTCCTTTTTACGTTGATGAAAGTTCAACAATTTGTATTTGCATGGCAAAAATGTATTAATATGTAGTACAAAGCATTAACAAATATATTGTATAAATATCATTTATGAACAAGATAAGCAGGTCTAAAGTTTTATTAATATTTAATATCTATATAGTGAGATTCGTCTAGTTTATATCTTGTGAATGGTTCTAAAATGCTGGTTTAAATGTTCCCTTTCTCAGATATTTCAAATTAGTCGTCCTGGTCCTCTTCTTCCTTTTGATTTACCTTGTATGGTAACCTGAAGAATGTGATGCTTGTTGGTTTCTATCACACTCCCAAAATATGCCTGATTTCTACATTTAATTATGTTTTGTGCAATTAAGTTCTGTGGTCTTAATCTATTATTTGGAAAATATTTGCATCCATGAGATACGGATACTTCTGCGATAACGACACATTCTGAATCCCGTTATTTTTCTTGCAGTTTGTTTACTCAATTTTAATGCGAATTTGTCCAGAGTGATCTCAGTCATCATTTAAGTTGAATCCCGCATATTCCCAGTTTAGGGATGTACTTTCTTGGATAATAATATAGGAGCGAGCCAATCATCAGGAAATGTCTAGAAAATTGTATTTAATAGATTTTTAAAATTGGCATGGGCCCCATAGTACGACAACTAATAGAGAAACTTAGAGAATACAATCTAGAAAATTATATTTAGTTTATTGACTATTAAAAACCCTTCGATCGGGCGAAGACAAACATTTTGTGGAAAATTACAGATGTAGGTTTTATCACAGACATCTGATAGAAATAATAAAAAGATTATAACACAAAACAAATAATACTAAATACTAGAAAATACACACAGCAGAATCAATAGGAACCAACAGAGGAATTGGACAAGGCAAAGTTAAGGCTTTTAAAGGAAAAGAACTTGTACGTTCCAAAATAATAATAAACGAAGAGCCCATAGAACAGTGGTCGCATTTTAACATTTTAGGAACTCCGGTAATATTGCTTGAATTTAAATAAAAATAAAATTAAAATAAGAATTAAAATTAGAATTAAAATAAAAAAAAATAAATCGAATTTATGAAAATTCAAGACCTATGTAACCCTTTCAACTTTTTTATAGAGATATTCTCTCAATAAAAGGACAACCTTGTATATCTATATATACAGTAATACCCCGAACTTACGTGATAGGTGGGATCGAGCAATAACCGCATTAGTCGAATTCGCGTAAAACGGGGTACAATTTCGTTTATGTATGTATATAAATTATTTTTAATTGGGACAGGAAGCTAGAAAGTAACAATTTACACGAAAAATGTTTATTAAAATCTTATAATATACAAATATAAAATTGTTATGGAAGTTATTTGGTTGTAGAAGGCTTTAAAAAATCTTAGAAAGTAGTTTGACGACTCAAATTGTTTTTTCTCCCGCACAATTTCCTGATAGCAAGCTTTTAATTAAGTTATGAGTTCATAAATTATCAGCTCATGATTGCAGGAATCCAAAAGTTCTCACACGTCATCGCTATCCACTTGTAAATTTATTTGCATGGCAATAAAAACAACTTCTTTAGTCGCATTACTAATTTCATTAGTGTTGTCGTCAATTCCATCTTAGTGTCAGCAATGAAAAAATTTCCTGACGCCATCTAACGTTTTTTGTGAAATTTCATTCCAAGATATAATGATTTGCATCTAAAACGTTGAATTCAAAGTCTTTAACAGATAACTTGTTTTTCTTATAACTTCATACATATGTGCAAATGATCGTGTGGTGTAACAAGCTTTGAATTTTTAAAGACTCCCTGATCCATCGTTTGAAGTAAGCTGATTGATTAGCTAGTAAAACTTCTACTGTCATACATGGGTCAAAACTAGTTAAAGTTGCAGGAGGCTGACTTGGTGCGTTGTCGATGATTACTTTAAATAGAATTTGTGTAGATTGGCAATAACGTTCGACTTCAGCTATGAAATTATGACCAAACCAATTTTCAAAAAGGCAATCTGTCTCTCAAGCTTTACGATTAGACTTCGAAATCACTCAGCTCATCTCCATTAAATATGATTTGGTTGATATTACTACATTCATTTATCATAACTTTTTATCTTCTCTATCATTTCTCTGCACAACTAAGACAATTACAGCGAATTTTGAATCTGCTGAACCAACCGTTACTAGCTGTAACCTCTTCATCTTTAGGAATGTCTCTAGAATCCTCTTTCAATGTCTCAAAAATAAGTTGAGTTTGGAAGTACACTGTGTTCTAATCAATAGGACAATATTTTACATTTACCTGATTGTAACACCATAATTTTAACATTGTTTTTATCTCGACAACAATAGCGTAGCAACTATGCTTAAATTTAAAGTTCTTTTCTAATTCACTTATTTCCATTTTTGTATTAAAATTTTTAATTATATTAAGTTTAAATTAACGAGATTTGAAAATCGCGTCGGTGATGGTTCGTAAGTCGGGGTAGCGTAAGTCGAGATATTACTGTATTTAAATTTTTAACCCATCCATGCAAACTTCAATCAACGAAACGAAAAAAGAAAATGGACGAACTTTACCTATATCTGATAATACATTATCACGGCTTAACACTTTCTTATAATTCACTGGTGTCAATCGAGCCAAAGGTCAACCAATGTGCATTCGTCGAAAATTGTTCACCAGACCAGTATTCGGTGCGTGTAGATTCTTCATTAGAATATTATTAAGTCCGAAATTTTCTGTTTGTCAGCAGCTGTTTGAAATGCCAGACCAGAGTACGCCTACCTACATTTTAGAAACATTTGTCTTAAACATTTTCGTACAACACCAAATAGTTTGACATATGCCTATGAAGATAATTTCAAAAATGTCTTTTCCGCACTGTACTACTATATTCAACATTTTTTTGTTTTCAGTTGTCTCATAAAACGAAGATATTTTTTTTAAATTATATTTACTTTAACATATGCTTGGTGCTATTTTTTTAAACTATTTACTTTCTTTATAATGACTTCTTATATGTATTAATTTTAGTTTGTTAAAATAATTATTGCTACATATATTACTTGCTATGCAAATACTGAAATTTCAGTATGGCAGATATCTATTTATGCAGGCAGTATTTATTCCTCAACAATTTTGTATTATTTCGGTATTATTTTTAATAACGATATTAAATATTTATTTTTAATATATTCTATTGTTGTTTTATTGACGCCAGCTGTTTATTTTATTTTATTATTTATTAAAATAACCTTAATAGAACTTTTCATCACAAAATAGTGTCAGCCCTTTTTTTCGCACCTACAGTTTTTTATAAACACACATGTTAAGTTAGGTTAGTAATATAAAAAACAATAAAGTGCATGCGAATACATAATTAAGATACAAAATACCAAAGATAGTCTCGTTATCAAAAAAATATGAAAGATGTCCAAAAAAAGAAAGATGAAAATAAAGAAAAAGAGTCACAATTAACAAATCATTTTATTTACTCTATTATCATTGTCGTTATGGAGTATGTAAGAGTGGTATAAATATACGCTCTGAATTATTTAAAGGCAATATACTACATAATATACTACATATTATTTTATCAATTTTCCAAAGCACTTATTGCTTTATAAACAATGTTATTGCTTTATTAAATAAAAAAATATTTCTTTATAAATTTATAAGCCAGTGACGCATGACAATATATATTATACATTATTGTCAAAACGATATGAAAAACATGCCGCCTGAGGAAAAGTCCTATTCGCCCTGTTAAGGATGAGTGGCGCTGCATGGTGAGTTGTCTACGAAGAGTTATAAAGAAGCTAAAAGAACACAACAACAGTAACCAAATTTTCCAACGTGCGTAAAATTCATCGAGTTAGAATCTATGGAGAGGCCATCAGATGACTAAAATCGACCTCACTTTGGCCATATTGTTATGATCGTTTTGACAGATCGTGTACGACTGTTTATGTTTGTTGTTTTTCGAAGCTGACAAGCTGTATCTCGATCTTGTAGGCAAACAGCATATAACGGCTAAACAAAATTTGGGGGTGGTGTTTTTTAACCTATTAATATAAATTTCTGACTGTTTTGTATATTTTGTGTTATATGTTTGTGTAAAAAACTGTATTGTAGTTGTGATTTGAGTATGTAAATGGAGCAAAAATACATGTAGATCATGTGTATTCTGTGTTGTATATGTGTTAAACGTGAGATTGTGGATGATGTTTTTCAACCTTCTAGTACTCCGCTATTGTTGGTATATTCTTGTTAGTTTAGTATTTGTATAGTTAGTTTTAGTATTTGCAACCAAAGCCTGCTACATTCTGCTGATGGCATTGCTACATATTTTTCTTCGTTGAATATGACGAGGGCTGCTTCTTTGACTTTTCTCTTATTCATGTCTGTTTTTTTGATATGTCAAGACAACTAAGTGTCAAGATAAACAGAATGAAACAGGATAGAAATTACGAATAGGAACTTCGAGAAATCCTAGATATGCAACAACGAGTATAGACCACAATCAAAAGATAATAATCATCAAATAGCAATTTCCAGGGAAATTCCATCAAAACCATGTAAAAATAAGGGTCAATTCTTCCAACGCCAAACCTGAACAAAAAGAAAGAGCTCAAGATGAACGACCCGCATAAAACACGTTTTTTTTTTCTCAGAGCCATTTCTGACGATAATCTTGATCAATATTAAGAGAATTACTGATGATAAGGAAGTTCGACTTTCACACATTTGTAAAACTTCTAAATTTGACATCTTGTGCGTCCAGGAAACGCATCGCGACCAAAAGCAGAGACGGCCAAACATTGATGGGATAATTAACACTTTTTGTCTTGGATAATTGGTGCAGGAAATGAATTAGAAATAATTTACAAGCTCAACAAAAGCGTCCATTTTTATTTCCACGTGTTATTAATGCAACGGCTTGTACATGATTCTCGCGCATCGATCAAAACAACGGGGCGATCGAAGCGACCTCGCCCAAAATGCCCCAATGTTGGCATAAAGCAACGTTGCCAGATCGATTTGAAAATTAAAACAAAATAGAAATTATTAGAGAACATGAACATGCCCCCCGCCTTGAAAGAGGGAAGCTTTCAAAGAAAAACATTATAACTGGTAAATATTAAAGAATAAAAATAAAATAGATAATTTCTTAACTTAAAGGTCCTCAAGACTAATGATTTAAAATATAAAGTAAAAATGTTCAGTTCACAAAAACAAGTGTCATTGTATTTATCACTCAGTCTGTAAATTTTTGTCCAGCGGTAATGGACAAATCTTGGGAAATGCCCTTCTCACCAGGCCCTGTTCTGTCTTGATTACAGCAACTCTGCATACGTCATCGGGTCCTTTGATCACGTCCTCTATTCTTCCAAGCTTCCACTTCATCGGAGGAAGGTTATCATCTTTGATTAAAACTAAGGCTCCCCTCCTCAATGAATCATAATGCTGCTTCCATTTTGTACGAGCCTGGAGTTCACTGACATACTCCTTACTCCAGCGATTCCATAGATGCTGCTTAAGTTGTGACAAATGCTGGAATACAGTCAATCGATTATAAGGTATATTAACAAAGTTTTTCTCGGGAACACTGCTGCCAGCTCGTCCAATTAAGAAATGTGAGGGGGTGAGTGGAGTAAGGTCGTGAGGTGAATCGGAGATAGGAGAAAGAGGTCTAGAGTTTAATATGGCCTCGACTTGTGTCAACAATGTAGTTAGCTGTTCAAAGGTAAACGAAGCTCCCTTAGTGACGCGACGTAAGTGGTGCTTAATGCTTTTAACCCCGGCTTCCCATAAACCACCAAAATGTGGTCCATAGGGAGGATTAAATTTCCAATTTATATTGTCTTTATGACAACTTTCGGATATTTCATTTTCATTTTGAGATAAAAATCGACCTAATTCACAAAGTTCGTTACTAGCCGCTTTAAAATTGGAACCATTATCACTTAATACTTGAGAGGGCATTCCTCTTCTAGCAACGAAACGTTTTAATGCCAACAAAAAATATTCTTTACTTAAATCACAAACTAATTCGATGTGAATCGCTTTTGTGACCGCGCAAATAAATAAACAGATATATGCCTTGGAAATTTTACATCCGCGGCCTGTGCGACTTTTTATTAATAAGGGACCTGCATAGTCAACGCCAGTTACTTCAAACGGTAGTCGCGAACTTAAACGATCTTTTGGTAAGGCGGCCATAATAGGTTTAGTTATTTGAGGCTTAAATCTGAAACAAGACAGGCACTTTCTTACAATTGATTTGACCAACAGTCGACCACCAATAGGCCAAAAAATATCGCGAATTGTCGCAAGCATCAGCTGAGGCCCTGCATGCAATAAATCAAGATGAGTTTGGCTAGCAATTAAAACATTAAATGTGATTTAGAATGTAAAATTAAAGGATGTTTTTTCTCGAATGCAAATTCGAATTACTCAACCTACCACCAACCCTTAGAAAACCGAATTCGTCTATAAATGGATTTAAACTTAGGAGACAACTATTTGATTTTAACGGTTTGTTGGTGCGCAAATTTGTAATGTCCGCTTTAAAATAGATATCTTGATCAATTTTGATGAGAACATCAAAACGCATGTTTTATTTCAACGGTACTTATATAATTTGTTTTAAAACGCAAGTGATTATCTTTTAACTTAGAATTTTTAAGAAATCTTATCACCCATGCCGTTACTCTCTTTAATTTATCCAATTGGAGTATTTGTTTATAATAAAATCGTCTACTATCGCCGTGAAAGCAATACGGTCATCCATTTTCTTGATATCAGGTAACTTTTGATCTGATATTTGCTTTTTAGGCCAACGATCTTCATTGTCCGTGAGCCAAGACGGTCCATACCACCATAAATTATTATTTAAAAGCGATGATGGTGTACTTCCTCTTGATATAATGTCAGCTGGATTTTGATTGGAGCTAACATGCTTCCAACAATCCGAACTAGTCGAGTCTTGAATCTCAGAAACTCTGTTGCTTACAAAAGTTTTAAATTTATTGGGAGGTGATTTTAGCCATCCCAGTACGATCGTAGAATCGGACCAAAAAATACAACGAGAGAAATTAACTCTCAAAGACGTTCTCACCCTTTTTGATAATCTGGCTAATAGTAAAGCAGCAGAAAGTTCAAGTCGGGGGATAGATATGGTTTTCAATGGAGCTACTTTAGATTTTGCGCACAATAGGTGAGAAAATATCTGACCTTCTGCATTTACTGACCTGATATAAACGCATGCGCCGTACGCTGTTTCCGATGCATCAGCAAAACCATGCATTTCCAAATATGCCGCATTCTCACACATAGCGTGTCTTTGAATACGAAGCTCATTTAATACAGGCAAATCAGATCTAAACTGAGAATAGGAAGTGTATATACTTGACGGGACAGATTCGTCCCAAGACAGCTTTTCCAACCAAAGCGATTGTAATATCACCTTGGCCTTTAATATGCAAGGAGCTAAAAGCCCTAACGGATCGAACACCTGCGATACCTCTGATAATATTATTCTTTTGGTAATTTTAGGAGTATAAAAAACTATCATTAATCTTATAAATTAATTGATCTGAATTTGGGCTCCACGTAATACCTAATGTTTTAGCATTTTCATTTTCCCGAAATTTATAAATAATGAGTCCACTTCGTCGGATTCTACGTACTTTAACACATCATTATTATTTGAATAAAATTTTCTCAACTCAAAACAACCTGTTTTAAAATATTCGAAACTCCTTTGCAGATACAGGCTGCTTCCTCAACACTGTCCGCTCCGCTCAACAAATCATCTACATAAAAGTCAGATCTTATTATATTCGCCAGTTTAGGATTTTTAGATTCATTTTCAGCCGCTAATTGAAATAGACATCGAATAACTAATACGACGCTGCCGCAGTGCCGTATGTTACAGTCTTTAATTCGTACACATTTATTGGATCATTTGAATTTTCGCGGTACAATATCAGCTGTAAACTCCTTTGGTCTGGAATCACTAATACCTGGCGGTACATTTTAGCAATATCAGCCGAAAAAAACATATTTATATTGTCTAAAACGCAGAAGAATAGAAAAAAGTTCATCTTGTAATGTCGGACCGACGTATTGCAAATTATTTAATGAGTAGCCCGACGAGGAAGGACATGAAGCGTCGAACACAACACGTATTTTT